GGAAGACTTAGTTTTCCCTATCCATTTATATATCCTCATTTTGTTCCACATATGTGCAACTGTGGACCAAAGGAGGCAAAATCAGTTTTGCAGCTGGAAAATTCAAAACGGTCACTATTTGGATGTATATATCAATTTCTCTGGATGTATACAACACGGGGGACTCAGGCTAGAAACTGGGAGAATGTGCTCTAGTCCTGTCATGAAAAGTGGCTGGGTAACTTTGGGCCAATCACTCTCTCAGCTCAACCCACCTCAAAGGGTTGTTGTTGTGGAAAATAGGAGGAAGAGAGTGTGTTGTGTATGTTTGCTGCCTTACAAAAAATAATAAAAGTGGGAATAAAAAAATAAATACCATACGGGGGAAACTCTTCAGTTATTTGCAAGAACAAGCTAATTATGCATATGATTGTATATAGGGAATACCTATCCACTGTATCTTTGCTTTCCATTTTTAAAGCTAATTATTTAAGACTATTTTTAAATGTATAATGTACTAATCTGTCATAATTTATTTTTAAAACTGTAATATTTTCTTTTTATAGGGAATTGAAACCTGGTGAAGATGCTTTATGGAAATAATGCGTCAAATAAGAGTTGATCGCCCTACAGTTTGAATAAGTGATTGTTCCATAATGAAAATAGAATCTAGTATTACCTTTGTTCAGCATATGATTACTAAAAAAGTATGTAGCCCCAACTGTATAATGTCATTCAAACATACAATTTGAAGTAAGGGTAATAGTATTAAGAAGGTTGGTTCAGTATGTTTCTCAGAAACTGTTTGTCTCTGTGAACTTGAATCTTTGTCATCTTCAGAGCATATAGTTACATCCAGTAAAGTATAGGATTGTAGTTGATGGGGATCAGTATGATTATATATATTTACTGCATAAATTTTTCTGGAATTTCTTCCCTGATAATTGATCTTTTTGGGTATCTAAATAAAAGTACCTTGAAATAGATTTAAAACACTTTTTTGTACAAAATATTATTGATGCTACCTTTGGGGGGGTTATATTTTATGGTGACTGTAATATCTAGTTCTTTAAAATATTTGGTTTCTGTTACTTATATATACCATAATAGCTCGATACCTGTGCTTTGCTATGAAACTATGTGGTCAGGCTTAGTTTTTTGGGAAGAAAATAGGGAGAAATTCTGCCTCTGCCTACCAGCACCCATCAGTATTTATCTGGCTAGCGTCCTGCCAGTGTGTGAGTTGCTGTTTGGAAACTGAAAGAGTATTTGCTGTGTGAGCAAGGGGACAGCAAGGAGCCTGGGCGTGGCTTAGCTCAACTGTTCTGTACTAAAGCTGCTTGGTGCTGTGAAACTAAAACTGAAATTCCGCTCCTCTGCTTGTGTTTTGCATTTGGAACAGATTTCTTTTCAGGTGGGAAGGGGAAGAACTCCTTAGCATCAGAGTGTGTTAATAATAATATACAAGATAATAATGCTCTGGTCATTTGGAAAATCCTTTCTTACTGAGCACCTGGAGGCCAAGAGGAACATACGTGCCAAATTTCTAGTTTGTAGGCTTTACGGTTCTGGAGATTTTGTGGTGATGTGTGAGTGTTATTTCACTTTTATATATATAGATTGAATTGAATATGTGCTTATAGAAAACTTCAGCATGCTAGGCTTTGGCACATTATAAATCAAACCAATTGTAATTATGGAAAAAAAGCCTCAGCTAAACAAATCAGAGTTAAGTGTGGTTTTGGATGACATCTATTACTCCTTTCATTGTCACAGTTGATTTGGCTGGCTAGGCAGATGTCCTTTTCTTCCATAAAATAGCCTGTTTGTTTTCCTCTAACCTGGTCTTTTAAAATCTTCCAAAGGTGCACTCATGGCACTATAACTGGGCACCACCACCACCCAACAAAAAGATTGTTTTGATCTTTAAATCTAGGGCTACATCTTAGCTGCCAAAGTTCTGGCGACCGTTAAACTTGACAGAGAATGACAGGAAACTACATTTGGTAGCCCTGCAACATCAAAATGAAAAACATTGCGACTAGTTGTTGATCGTTCCAACAATCAACCAATGGAACTTCTTGCCTTCAAAAGCTGTGGGTGCTTCATCCCTGAAGACTTTCAAGACGAGACCGGAGAGCCATTTGTCAGAAATAGTATAGGATCTCCTGCTTGAGCAGAGGATTGGACTCAATGGCCTCCAAGGTCCCTTCCAACTCTCTTCACATTCTGTTATTATTCCGACCCAAGTCCCAATCCTCATCAGAGAAGCTGTTGAGTGTGAACGGAAACATCCAAACGCCATCTTATTTGGCCTAGAGGATATCAATGATAATGATGACATCACAACTGTCCAAAACATCATCAGTGATTATCAAGCATCAACCATCTCCCCTGATGAAATACTTGACATTTCCCGCATTGGCCGAGAGCTCAAAAACAGAGACGGCTCTGTGACCCCACGCTTCTGCAGGGTCATTTGAAAAAATGAATCAAGCAAACATAAATTCATTTACACTATAAATTCACTCACCAAAACCAACACCAACCATAAGAACCTCCGTTGTCTCCCTGGCCTAACCATACAGCAATGTGCCTGCTCCCATGTACTCCACACTGAACTCAAAAAACATCTAGACAATGGAAAGAAGGACCTGTACATTGACTACCATGCTGACTGTATCAAAAATAAGTCACACAACCCGCAACTCAGCTTTAACCTTCAACCACAACCCTACCTCAACCAATCCACCATCACCCAAGACCAGGCATGCACGCCCCAACTATCTCAATTCCAACTATTGCTGGCCTTAAATGCAAGCTACTCGATTCCAACTACTGCTGGCCTTAAATGCAAGCTACTCAATGCAAGAAGCCTTGAAAATAAAATACCCGAATTATCACATTAAACAAGAGGAAAACCTTCTATACACCAATTCCACCAGTTCTAATGGTAAAGACTGCAATGACGACACCATTAAAGCCAACCTCTTTAACACATTCTTCAGCTCAGTATTTGTAAACAGCAATGGATCATGCCCAGTATTTCCTAGCCGAACCACAGACAACTACAATGATCTAATACATATCGATTTTACAGAAGACAATGTTGAAAAAGCACTACGCAATCTAAAACCATCCCTATCTATTGGACCGGATGGAATATGTGCCTACTTCTTAAAAAAGCTATCCACTGCCATAGCCGAACCTCTAAGCATAATCTTTGAAAAATCTTTCAGGACCAGCTCCTTGCCTAACCTATGGTCACAAGCCACAGTCATCCCCATCTTCAAAAAGGGAGACCCCAGCCTAGTTGAAAGTTACAGACAAATCTCCTTATGCTGCGTCACCTGTAAAGTCATGGAATCAATTATTAACCAATCCATTATCCTCCACTTAGAGACAAACAACCTACTCTCCAATAAACAATTTGGTTTCAGGAAAAAACTATCCTGTAATCTGCAACTCTTACACTGCAAAAACATATGGACTACACAACTCGATCAGGGCAAAGCAATAGACGCAATCTACATAGACTTCTGTAAAGCCTTTGATTCAGTGGTACACAACAAACTACTCCTAAAACTAAAATCTTATGGTATCTCTGGCAACTGCATAACTGGATAGAAGCATTCCTGTCAGACAACAAATGGTCAAAATTGGGAGCATCCTATCAAATTCTGTACCTGTCAACAGTGGCATCCCCCAAGGCAGTGTTCTAGGACCTACTCTCTTCATACTCTACATAAATGACCTCTGTGATCATATTAAGAGCAACTGCATTCTTTTAGCTGATGATGTAAAGCTGTTCAATACCACAGGCAATACTGCTACCCTTCAAAAAGATCTTGACTATGTATCAGAATGGACAAAGAAATGGCAACTTCAAATCTCAACAAATAAATGGTCTGTCTTACATATTGGCAAAAAAAAATCAGAAAATAAAATTCAAGCTGAATAGTCAAGACCTTGTTGATGATCCAAACTCTGTCAAGGATCTTGGAGTACTCATCTCTAATGATCTAAGTGCTAGAGACCACTGTAACTACATAGCCAAAAAGGCATTAGGAGTTGTTAACCTAATCCTACGTAGCTTTTTCTCTGGTAATATCACACTACTAACTAGAGCATACAAAACATTTGCTAGACCAATACTCGAATACAGCTCATCAGTCTGGAACCCACATTACGTATCAGATATTAGCACAGTTGAGAAAGTCCAGAAATATTTCACAAGAAGAGTTCTCCACTCCTCTACTCATTGTAGAATACCTTATGCCACCAGACTTGAAATTCTAGACCTAGAAAACCTTGAATTACGCCGTCTTCGGTCTGATCTAAGTATGGTATATAAAATCATACATTACAATATCCTACCTGTCAATGAATACTTCAACTTCAAACATAACAACACAAGACCACACAATAGATACAAACTCAAGGTTAACCGCACCAAACTTGATTGTAGGAAATACTTCAGCAACAGAGTGGTCAATGTCTGGAATACTCTACCTGACTCTGGTTTCTTCCCCAAACCCCAAAAACTTTAACCTTTAGACTGTCTACTATTGACCTCATCCCTTTCCTAAGAGGTCTATAGGGGGCATGCATAAGCGCACCAACATGCCTACCGTCCCTGTCCTATTGTTTCTTTTATTTTTCTTATATGTACCCATTTCATGTATTCACAACCATATATATACTTATACCTATTATCTTGTAAGCAATTGACAAATCAAAATAAATAATAAATAAATAAAACAAGTGCAGTAGGCAAATAAGAGTTGAGTTCTTTTCCTATTGTCGCCTTTCCATCCTTGTTTACTCTTGAAAATGCCCCGCAGGCGGTACGACGCGAGCCCGCCCGAGCAGGGTCCCCACCGGTGCCGCCCGCTGTCCGTCTCGTCGCAGGAGACGCCGGAGCGCGACAGCAAGTGCCGCGCAGAGCGTTGCGACGGGCTACCACGGGGCGTTTGTTGCGAGTCAAGAGGAGCTCCTCGGAACGGAGAGATGGCCTCGGCGATTGGCTGCAGCGGGTCACGGAGCACAACGTGGCTTGATTGGCTGGGTCGGATCATGTGGGATGGAAGCCGATGGTGGCGGTGGGAGACACATAAACATGGAGGCCATCTTTCACGAGAGGGTGAGTGAGCCTCTTGCCTTCCCTTACGTAAGGTGGGCTGTGAGGTTAAAAAGAGGGCGAAGCGAGAGGAAAGAAAGGCGGGTCGCGGGGAGCTTGCCCGGACAACGAATCTTTGCCGTTTCGGTTCCTTGGGTCGTTCAAAGGCTACCAATATCTTTTTTTTTTTAGCCTTTTATACTTTTATATTCAAGCTGCCGAGGGGAAGAATAAGAATAAAGCCAATTTCTTGTGTTTCGGAGGTACTTAGAAAGGCAAGGCGGGTGAAGGGTTTCCAATAAGTAGGAGAGGATAGTGACTGCTACGATAAAGGTCTGAGATTTGAAACATTGTCGCCTGTCTCGGAAGGGGAAGCGGTCACGTTTGTTGAAAACTGATGCTTTTAAAGTACACTCCTGTAGCTGGGTGGTGCAAGGAAGCATTTTCTCTCCCATGCTTAATGAATCTTTTCCGAGCATCCTCGCCCCTGACCATGCTGGCAGGATCTGCTGAGCAGAAAACAAGGAAGTGAGCTGAACATGGAGCTTAGCATGGAGGACAAGAACATATGAACTGGTGTTACTAAACACTAACATTTTATATGAGGTGCTGCATATATATCCTCGTTTCCTTTCAGCTGTTCATTGTTATACATGCAGAATGATACAGTAGTACATGATTTTGTTTCCTGCCTTACTGATGGAACTGGTTATTTTGAAACTGTGTATGTCTGATACATCTGTCATTAATATGAACCCTTTTTTCTTGACATGTATAACATTATTGTTGCTGGGTGAAGAGAATGGTTTGAGTTTCTTTTCCATCTTTGTTTTGTCTAACATTGAAATCTCTAGATGTACATTTTTGGGGAAGTTAAAATGATACATTTCAGATTATTCTGAAGGCAATGATATATTAATAGTATTATAAAGTAATAGTATCCAACTAATTTAGCTATAAAGGAAGAACATTTTTAAGCATAACATGAATTTGCTAAATTGATTCCCCCTCCCGAGAGTTGCATGTCCCTAAAAGCAACCCAGAGGGTTGGGTGTCTCTGGCGTAAAGAAAAAAAAATGCTATCCTGGAATGTATAGAAATGCCTTTTTTATGCATGTTTAGGTCAAAGAGTAGAGAAAGAACTGTATTAAGAGGCTAGTCCAGTTTCTTCAATGGGCTACCAAATGCCTTCAAGCAGGATGTGAATGTAGTTGCATTTTGCCATCTATGTTGTTAGCAACTGATAACTGAAAAAAAAAAACCTGAAGTTTGGTCTAAGTCATATTGATTTAAATCAGTCAAAAACACTATTTTAATTGACTATATATGGATAGATGCAACTTTTATGTTTAGAAACAGGTATATGTTATATATTATAAATTCATACATCTGATTTTCTTGTTATTAACTTTACATTAAAATTGTAAAAATTAGTACTAGATATATAAGACAGCTAACTGATGTGCATTTTTTCTCTTGGTAATGGGTAATAAAAATAGGTAATAGTAAGTATTATGCAGGGCTTAATGTGCTAGGAACAATAAAAAAGTTAAGCTGGAAAACTAAAGATGTGATTTAGTAAACAAATGATAAAGATTATGAATATGTTTCTGCAATTTCACGCAGAACTAGTTGGACTTGTTTGGGTACATATTTGCATGGGCATAATTTTAGCTAAATACTTTAATGGAAACAGTGAGCTTTATTCAATACACTTTCATAGTGTATTCATTTAATAGTCCAAACTGATATAAATGCATTAAAATATAGTGCAAAATGTTAAAAACATAATTGTTGAAATCACGAAGAAAGCTATCGCAGTATATCTATTTTACTATCTCTGGCTAAACACAGAAGCAGGGTAATCTCAAGGATATACTTGCTCTGGTTTTTGAACAATAAACATGAAAAGATAATATAATACTACATTTTCTTTTTCTTTTTACATTTTTAATAATTTAGCAAGAAGGTTCTCTGTGTGCCCAGCACTGTTTGAATAACTTACTGCAAGGGGAGTATTTCAGTCCTGTGGAACTGTCTTCTATTGCACAGCAGTTAGATGAAGAAGAGAGAATAAGAATGGCAGAAGGTGGAGTTTCTAGTGAAGAATATAGAATATTTTTACAGGTAACAGCTCTTCAGGTGGTTTTACATTTATTTGCCAGTTTTTGTTCTGCATTTTTTCTTACTGAAAGAGCTTATATTGAAACTGAATTTCAGAATGATGAAATGTAAAGTTATCTATTCTCTTTCCTGGAATAGCATCCTCAAGACTACAATTAAGCCCAAAATTTATGTTGCTAAGTGAAACATTTGTTAAGTAAGTTTTGCCTCATTTTATGACCTACCTTGCCACAGTTGTTAAGTTAGTAACACAGTTGTTGACTGAATCTGGCTTTCCCATTTACTTTGCTTGTCAGAAGGTCACAAAAGTGGATCAAATGACTCCAGGATACTGCAACCATCATAAATGTGTCAGTTGCCAAGCACCTGAATTTTGGTCACATGACTATTGAGATGGTGAAATGGTCATAAGTGTGAAAAACAGTCATAAATCACTTTTTTAGTGCCATTGTAACTTTGAACAGTCACTAAATGACTGTTGAGAACTACCTGCATTAGAATTACAGTCAATTTCTCAGTGAAGCTTCTGTTTAACATTTTAAAGACTTTTTTTTTAGAAACTAGAGAACTTAAGGTACAGAATTTATTTTATCCCCAGCTACTTTTAAATTGATATCCACAAATGAGTATACAAAGAACAAAATGAAAAAGGCTACTGTACTAACCAGTAAATTCTTGTATTTGCCTGGTGTTGCCTGTCTGCATAGTTTATTTGCTGTTTTTCATTGACATAACCTGCGGATCCCAGAATTTCACACTTGTTCTCATGCCTTCAAAATGGTTCATTAAAAGTATTTTTTTTTAAGTTTAAGATTTACTGAGATTAACTGAAATTATTCTCTACATATGATTTTCCAAAAGTTTCTGTAGCACGTAAATTAATCTTCTTTCCTTTGCATTCTTTGTTGAACAGCAGCCTTCAGGAAACATGGATGATAGTGGTTTCTTCTCAATTCAAGTAAGCAGTTTCTAAGTAGTTGCTCTCTAATTTTTGAAAACTTCATTAAAATACATTTGAGAATGCTTATTGAAATACCTTGGGCTCCTATTTGAGAGCTGTTTAGGAAACAGCTGTGCTCAGTCAATACATTTCTTAAAGGTAAATGTTTGCCTCTAAAAATGTATAAGGAACAAAGCCATGGTTACAAAGAGTTCTTTATGTTTCAAACCTGCATTTTGATTGCAATTCTATAAATAGCTTCCATGCTTTTTCACCCCACTGATTTTCAGTAGAATATTAGCATTCTAATAATTTATATAATCGTTCTACATAAGTTAGGATGAGACGGATTTCCGCAGGGCAAACTGATAATGTAATACATTATTTGGATTTTTTTCCTGGACAGATTTGCTTATTTATTTATATCTGTAATTAATAAAAATCTTCCTTTGTATTGTACATCAAGGATGGTAGAAATGTACTTTTATATGTGTAAAGTATATTTTCCAAATATGTCATTACAAACTAAAAAGTTTGCATACATAAACACGTGGGAGGTAGAGAGAAAAGAGGCAGCCCAGGGAATGACCAAATAAAGAGAGTGCATAGCTTGCAACTGCATAATGGGCAGAGAAAGAGACTCAAAAAGAAATCTCACCAACTTCTCAAGCTGTAAAAGAGACGGTGGGAGAGTGATATTGAATTTTTTATCCTGCCTTTATGAGTTTTATAAAAAAATCTCAAAGCAATAAACATACTTAATATTCCTCCCTTCTCCTAGTTTCCTTATAACAACCACCTTATAAAGTGAGTTGAGCTAAGAGAGAATGATTGGCCCAAAATCACTTGGCCAGCTTTCAAGCCTATGGTGGGATCAGAACTTAGCCTTCTGGTTTCTAATGTGGTGCCTTAATCACTACAGCAAATTTGCTTCCTAGATAAAACTGGCTCCCTCTGTGTGCAAATATGTGATCACACATACATGCAGTTTCTACTCAAAATTGATCTCAGCATTTCCAGATAAACGAGACAGGAAACTTTACCAGATGATCTAATTCTACTTGACTGTGAGGTTACATTAACAGGATCTTGTAAGGCTGATAATATAAACCTTCCACTTTCTCTTTGGCAGCATCTCTTCCCCTCTTATAGCCAGGCTTATCCCCACATATTGTTACAATATCCCTGTATAATTAATTACAGGTTGTCCTCAACTTAGTCATAATTGGGACAATTGCTAAACAAGGCAGTTGTTAAGTGAGTCATGCCCAATTTTACCTTGTTAAAAGAAATCACTGCAGTTGTTAAATGATGAATGCACTCATTAAGCAATTCTGGCTTCCCCCATTGATTTTGCTTGTCAGAAATCGACTAGGAAGATCACATTATGATCACATAACCCCAGGGCACTGCAGCATCCTAAATATATGCTAGTTGCCAAGTGCCCAAATTTTGATATGTGACATCAGGATACTGCATCAGTTGTAAGTATGAGGACTAGTTATAATACACTTTTTTCACTGCCATTATAACTTTGAATGGTCACTAAACAAATAGTTATAATTTGAGGAGTACCTGTGTTTAACTTGTCCTTATAGTAGGCTACTTTGGGATAGATTGTTGTATGTAATAACTAGGCTAAGTAAATAATAAGTTTAACTAGGAACAAAGACTTCAGAGCCATGTACGTTACGTAGTATATATGCCCTGCAAAGTACAGTAGTTTGTAACAACAAAGTAAACTATGCAAAGTTGACTATATTTGTATCAAGTTTGAAATCACTGAAGCTGGCAGACTTAATCTGCAATTTATCATTATACTTTTCTATAGATTGCTTTTAGTTTCTCCTCTTCTACAAAATGTGATGCAGGTGAATTTCTCTCTTTAATTTCCCAATAGTTGGCAAACAAGTTTTATACTAATAATGTATTTCAAACAAGAAATTTAAGAACAGATGGATATATACTGAGTTTTTGTAGGACTCCGCGATATCCAGAAATACAGCTCTCATGCAAATAGTCACTCAACATGTCTATGGAGATTCTCAGTCCTCCAGGTCATGGTTGTCCTAAAGGTGCTTTTTCAAAATGCAGCTGGACTTTTTTTGTTTTTCCCTGAAAATGTTTCACTTCTGATCCAAGAAGCGTCTTCAGTTCTGAGTGAATGGTGGAGAATGGAAAAATTTATATTCCTTGCAGTCATCTGGTCATTAACACTTTCTTCAGGAATTGTTGAGGTTATCTGGAGGTTTATCTGTCCTCAGGGTCACCTTAACAGCGCAAATGGATGTGGAACCTTCTTGGAATTGCTAAAAGGACTATGTTGTAAATAGGAGATCAGTGGTATACAGGAATATATATAAATCCTTCCATTCTCCAACATTCAGTCAGAACTTGAAGAAGCTTCTTGGGTAAGAAGTGAAATGACTTCAAGGAAGAACAAAGGAAGTCTAGTTGTTTTTTTGAAAAAAAAAATTGGAATAGTTACTCAACATTTAATTATTTTAGTGGCATTTAAAATGGTTAACATCTTGTCCCTGAAAAAAATGAATGTCTTTTATAATATAAAGTAAAACTATAATTTAGAGATCTCATTCACAAAGAACTAAATTTCTGCAGTGATTTACAGCATTTGCATCATGTAATTTGGGTAAAGATATAAATCATGCATATACACAAATGATACATCAGTATAATAATGTTTAACAGATATTCCTAAATTAGGGACATTTCCTCCCTAAAATAGTTGAAATGGGATTTCACGATATAAAGAATTAGATCAATAGGTTTTAAATATCTTATCAGCTACACATAATGATCTTTAGATAGTAAGAATAACATTGATGCTTCCAGAGCAAATTGATTGTATAGAGCTGCTGATAACAACTAAGGTATAATGTGACTTGGGGGCGGGGGGAGGGGATCAAATTTTTTTTTTTTCTTCCTATCATTTTCCTTGCAAGTGCAACTGGTTTTCTGAAAGGCCAAATTAGTTTTCAAATGGTATATTTGTTATCCTCCCTTAAATGTATTTTATATGTGGCCTGCTCAAAGTAGATTCATGAAGGTTAATTCTTAATTATCTTAGCCCAGTCATTTTCTTTTCATGAAATATGGTTGTTCCCCCACTCTCAGTTTAGTGGAAACAATAGAATGGGCTTAGATTTAATCAGAGCAAACCAATTAAAATCAATGTGACTTTAGTCTTGACTTCTGGAGTTCCATTGATTTCAGTGGTCTATTCTGAGTATGACGTATCTACATTTAGTTAATATATTTGTCTTTATAGTTCTAAAATGGTTGCATTGCTTACATTTTATAACTGACTGATTTATCTCATGAAAAGTGCTGTTTTTTGACAGGTTATAAGCAATGCCTTGAAAGTTTGGGGTTTAGAACTAATCCTCTTCAACAGCCCAGAGTATCAGAGGCTCGGGATCGATCCTATGTAAGACTTTATTTTTTAGCTCCCTGCTTCCATTTAAAAAATAGTAACAGTTATGCAAGAAAAAGAAAAGCCTTATCCTTTCCTTCAGAATTCCTTTTGAAGATTACTATTTCAAGTTCTGATTTTATCCACTCAACATTTTCTGTTTCATATTATTGAGGCCTTACATGTCCATTTGTGCCCTGAGCCTTCATGACATTTCAGAATCTGTAGAACGCTGTCTTTGAATAGTATCTGCTTGATGGCATCACCAGTATGTCTGTATTTATCAAGCATATATAATGATAAATATATCTCCAAAACAATGTTATTAAATATTCTGAACTATCTGAACTATAAAGTTCACGTAATCAGAATCACAGCTTTAATACCGCTGTAGGTGTTTCTAAATGCAAAAATGATAACACTGATTAATATTTCTGTGCTCAAATATTTAATTGTCTGAATATATTGTGTTTTATTTTCAGAAATGAAAGATCTTTTATTTGTAACTATAAAGAACACTGGTTTACAGTTCGAAAATTAGGGAAACAGGTAAAGTTCTTCTATATTTTCCTTCTTTAATGTCAAACTTGCCATTGGAATCAGCTATAAATTTAGTCAAAATTTAATACAGGTCTAATGACAAACACTGCATTCATCGATAGATGATAGATAGATAGATAAATGATAGGTAGGTAGTTTGATTGATTAATTGATTGAAATGATGAAACATCTTAGCTTTTTTCAAAATGTTATTTCCCAGAGCTGCTTTGTTCCTACTGTTCAGTATTCCCATTCTGAAACTGGAACTGATTCAGAATGATGTAGATGATTTTTTTCATGTTAATTGTATTAGACAACCTACAACCTTTTGAATCCTCCTTTATCAATATTTACTTACCTAAATATAGAACTATAGATAAGCAGAACAGCAGTTGGGAATGAGAGTAACTTCCAACTTCCTGCCAGCTTCCTCATTGACTTTATGGGAAGCTGGCAGGAAGCTTTGGAAATCACAGTCACATGACTGCAGCTGACTGTGGTTATGCTGCAACAGCTGCATCTTAAGATACTTGGAATTTCAGTTCCATGGGAGTAATGGGTCTTGGATTTTATACGTATTTTTAACTTAAAGATGTATTTCAGGTATCTTGATTCAAAAATTCTTGCCCTATGATGCACCAGTCTGCTAATTGAAGGTTACAACAGACAGAAAGAATTTTTCGTAACATGTAGACTAATAATAATAGCAGCAGCCAGGTTTTTTCCCTTGATGTTTCTGATTAATCAGTTTTTCTAATTTAAAACCAGGCATTTGCATTGCAATCGATCAGGGGTATCAAACTCGATTTCATTGAGGGCCACATCAGGGTTGTGTTTGACCTCGGGGTGTGTGTGTACCCAGAATGTGTGTGGCTATCAACGTCACTCATGTCAGGGGCACCTGTGCTCCTCAAGTGCTAAGGCAGGACTTCCCTCAGACCCTCCCTCCCTTCCTTCCTTTTCTTTTTCCTTCACTCTTCATTCTCATTTCTTCTTCCTTCCCCTTCTTTTTCTTTCTCTGCTCTCTTCCCATCTTCCCTTCTTTTTCTTTGTCTTTCCCTTTCTCCTTTCCTGTTCCTTCTTGGATGCTCAAATGCAAAAGGGGAAACATTTCTTGTTTTGTTTTGCGTTTGTTTTGCTATTCCTCTGCCAGGGAAAACAGAGCTCAGAGGAAGGGCCATGCACGGCCCTCCCAAGTTCCGTTTTCACTGGCAGAGGCACCAGGGGCAGTCCTACATTGTTTCGAAGGCGGTCCCGTGGGCCAGATCTAAGCAACCCCCGGGCCTTGAGTTTGACAACCCTGCAGTAGATGATTCCACAGCAAAAATTGCAATGTGTTAAATTTTCTGCTATGTATTCATAGCACTCCTTTTATTACAGCCTTGTTTTTTCCCTATAACTAAATAGTAATACAGATTAACCAAGTTGGAAGGGAGCTTGTAGGTCATCGTATCCATTAACTTGGGATTTACTATCTGACAAAGACTAGAAAAGACTAGGAATTCTCTTTATTTGCAAGCAGTCAAATTTATACAAATATTATTCCATGGTGTAGTAAGTACCATATATACTCGAGTATAAGCCGAGTTTTTCAGCCCATTTTTTGTGCTGAAAAAAAACCCCTCGGCTTATACTCGAGTCAGATTCCCTCTGAAAAAAGAAAAAATGGTGTGGAGCTCCGGATCTGGGCAGCCGCTTCCCTGCTTC